CAATCATCCTGTGGTGAACTGCAATATCATACATGGGAACAACCATGCTAACAGCCCCCGTACCGTTGTGGCTCAATCGGTTTTATCCTTGTGGACTGCGGACAACCCTTACAACTGGCCGTCCCTACACCGAGAAGTCCTCGCCCCTTTTGTCTCGCTGGCCCCCGCTGTAATTCCCARACCCCGCAGCACTGGCCAGAGGGGCTGGCAACTCTTCTCCGTACCTGCAGCGTGACCAGTCGGTGCGGCCAGCGTCCCGCKGACCAGAAATAGGCAGCACCAGTGCACAGTYTTAGCCCATCTTGACACTCGAACTATGAGYGGAGCGCACATCATCGAACMAGCCYGGGCCAGGAGAACAGCAAAAGGGGTAGGCTCCGTCCAAATAACGTAGTTGACCGGGGTAGTCAGTAGCAGTCTCAGCGCCGCAGCAAGGTCTCCATAGGAARTTGATAGCATCATGCGGCAGCGAYCTGTTCCAAYGCCGRATCCGTGCCTRTACCAAAATTAATACCGCAAGATTACTGTGTTTTTGCCATGGTCGGCCCAGGTGTGGCCCCAAACACTCAGACACCGTGCATGTTCCGTATTCGTCCYGYACCTTGAAAAGCATGAGGACAAGCCGCAACGTACCGCTGTACCACCAAACCTGTTCCGAACCTGAAAATGAAYTACGGTGTGTATCACAACCGTACCATGCCGATGCCGTGCCCATATCGAACCTGAAACATGTCGATGTCTAACCCTTACAGCCCCACCRTGATAGTTMTGAACCTGTCCCAAYCCTCACGCCCGAACCGGAACAACAATCATACTGACGCATTGGAGCCGTGGGGCACTATCAAGCCACATATCGGTAACACCACGTTGTCCGTCCAATCCTTACGGCAAGTCTAAAAATCAGGGAGATCAGGYAARTCCAGCCAAGCAATCCCCRTCATYGCAAATCAATGAAGACCGTCAGATATAGAATAAATAAATAATTTGGGATTGAACCGGACCCCGAATAGACCGACYAAAATTCCGCCGATCRTCTGATAATCATGGGWTTTCTTCCCTCTCATCATTGTTACAAATTGTTGAAATCCTCCRTTCCTTTCCTCCTTTATCATTTTTAATCTTTCCCTTTGTCTTCAATTCCATTGCCGGAAAACATAAAAATAACGGAGTATTTTCTCCAAAACTCAAATGCTGYGAGAAAAAAAAACAAGGAAATTAAGGAATATTACGTTTTTCTCTTCCCTCCTACTGATCTCATTCCCTTCCCCCATCKTTGATTTAGATACTAAAAATGACAAAAATTTGAGGCGCTATTTTGACCCCGATCATATGCTGCAAAGAACGTCGCAGCGGGGTTAGTCCCCGYRATGCCCCCTCGCGGCAGGCCAATTCGGGTCKAACCCTCCRAACGGCCAGAAATGACGGTCCGTTGATGTGCCGAGTGCGACCACTCATCTTGCCATTTTTTAGGGTTACCCGTACGGTTCAGTGCGCCCAAATTCAAGGGCGCCYCGAGCTCCCCTAATTTCCGCTGCCCGGTCTAACAAGAGTACCGTTAAAACTAAGACTCGTCTCTGCGCCTAATTCCCAAAACTGCAGATCTCAGGCGGCGCACTGCTTGCGG